GATATGATTGAAAAGTAAGATATTTTATCTAAAAAAAATTCAATTAAAACATGGATATATAGTACAGTACACAAGAATATTGACCTTTCATTTCATTCAATTATTGTACCCAGTATTCAGCATTGAACTCCACATCTGGACTGTTAAAACCTAAATGCATACAGGAATCAATATTATTTCATATATATCAACCTTGCAAAATTAGGAAGATTTTACCTGAATTTGTTTTGTTAAATACTGTAAACATAGAATAGCAATGTTTTTAAGATAATGAATCTATGAAAAACAAATAATAATTAAGTCAACAAGACTTGAATTTCAATAAGGCAGGCAACTAGGCTGCTTATTTCCAATTTGACACTGTTGGTGTGGCAAAAATTCTTGTTTTGAATTTGCTCTAGGCCAGCCTTCTCATCCGCCTCTGTCGAACTGATGTGTTGGGATGTCTCGGTCTTTGTTTATGTTTTAAATGGAATGCAAGTGTTTATATCTGGCTAACCATGAGGATAGAGTAATATTAGACCAATGGTCTCTACATTTGATGGTCACACCTTGTTGAACCAATACAGAATTCTCAATGCTAGTTCTTGGGTTGTGGTGAGAAATTCACCCATATCACATGGTCTGGGAAAACCTCTCCACATGGAGACGAGTCGTGGCTCTCACATGCGTAGAGTCTGTTAAATCATTGCACACCCTTGATGTTTTAAGTTTCTCCTGATATCTCACCATATGCTAGGCTGGATTACTAGCACCCTTCAAACTACATGACAAACCAATGATGACACTTTTGTATCACTGGTATTTTCTAGGGTAATGTGATGTTGCAAACAACATTGCAGTAATTGGGCACCTTAATGTAAACCAATTGGCAGGCAGTGTTCTAAAGTAAACTAATAAGGCTAAAGGAAAGATCCTAGAACTTAAGAAAATGAGCTATGAAGAGCAGCTGAAGGTTTTAAACATATCATGGCTAGAAGATAAGAGGAAAAAAAAGAGGCAATATGATCAATACATACAAAAATAGTAACAAATTGACTAAAACGTGATAGTGGAAATTTTTAAACCTGCACCTTCAAGAACAAGAGGTCATAGATTCAAGCTACGGAAACAAAGTTCCCAAAAAATGAAAGAATGTTCTCTTTTTGCAGAGGACAAAGAGCACTAGGAAGATGTGACACCACAAGAGTAGCTCTTGTCCAGTAACAACACTTAAATATTTACATGTACTACAGCAGTGGAAGGCCCCACAACCAAGGATAACATTTGTACCAACAGAAGAATTGATAAGTACAGTATGAAGCTTACTCAGAAATGGCATCAAATTAAATAAGGAAAGTGGAGTTGTTGTCAGCAAGTAGACAAGAATAAGAATAAAGAAGAATTTATTTATTTTTTACTCAAGAAGATAGGGTTCCAAGCCAGTGAAATGGAGAATAAAAGCTAACCAACAATCACCTGAGACAAGTGAAGTGTGTCCAAAAAAAAGGAAGCAAGCAAGTTCAATAAACTTTTATCTTTTAACCTAAATGAGGAGTGTTCAAACACACTTAAACTACATTATGTAATTCAAGAGAAAATACTGAATATTGTCACATTGATGGGCACCAAACTAGAAAAGAGAATTCTAAATGAGGATATGCTGTGTTTTCAAGTGGCTATTTAGTTTGGAGATTTAATAGAAAAATAGTTAAGTTTGAGATAGTTACAGTATGTACTGGTGAAAGAAATTCAGGTACCTGTATTTATATTTTAAGATTTAATACTTGATAGCCTACATGATGTTGACATTGTTCAGCTGGAGATTGGAAACCAGAGAAAAATTTATATTAAATTATTATTGTCATGAGCCCTTCATTAGCCCAGGTAACAATATACTATTAGGTAGACAGAATCTACCAGATAGGAATATAGGAAACGTGCCTAGCCATTTCTGTCCTGAGGAACAGAACCCAGAACTCCCGAGTAAGTGTCGAGAACCAATTTGACTGTACTGTACTACTTTGGACAAAGGCAGAACAAGACACCAAATAAGGTCTTATATTGTTTGCAAAAAGGGTAAATGAAAAGAGCATATAAATGGAGATTATTGGTAATGGATGACTTACGAAATCAATTTGGGATGCTTACAAGTTAGAGCAAGATATACTGTATGGATGAACATATTCATCAATCTCATTCCAAACACAATTATGCAATGGCATGTTATGCAGGTCACACGAGTTCCCATCATTTCTGGATCTGGTGTTCAACAGAACAAAGGTTTATAGGTTGGTAAGGATGTTAGCGAGATGTACGCAGTCCAGTCAGATTGGATTTCACCGCAAGATACAAGAGAATGTGCATGGGCATATTTCGTTCATCTCTCCCCACTAAAATGTGTGTTCTCTGTTCAGTTTTCTCACCTCAATTTTAATGGTACATCATTCATTCTGGTATCAAATTGTTCACAAAATAAAGGTGTGCATTTTAAAACTAGTCCCATAACGATCGGGTAAAAAATGGAATTTTAACATATTTTAATTTTGGATGTCACATGCGTCCCCACCGGACATCTGCAGCATTATTTTTGGATGTCAAATCCGTCCCCAGAGGTCGAAAGTGTTAAGTGAGGTGGTGGTGAATGCCAAAATGATAAGCAGTTTCAAAGCATCATATGACAAAGGGTATAGAGAAGATAGGAAACCACGAGGGTAGCTCACATCTTGCAACTGCTGTACACCCCAAGTAATTACACATACATTGAATATGAATACTGTACAGTATGTGTGTACAGTACTAGAAATTAATGTGAAATATGAGCACACTCAGTCGGATTGCAGTAAATTGGAATCCTTAGCTTGAAAGGATTTTCTAACACAAATGCTAGGTGAACTAGAATATTTTGCTCATGTCTTAAAATATTGTAAAACATAGCAAGTGAAGTAGGGAGGTGGATTTTAAATTTTTTGTTAAACAGAATGCAAAGAGTAACAGTCAATCAAATCAAATAAAAATATAATTTAGAGCTTCATATCATCCTTTGGAGATGATACAAAAATCAACATTGAAAATTAAGTTTGTAGAAGACACTGAAAAACTAAAAGTCGATACAGTATTAATAAGGTCTTCAATAGGGCAATGGAAAATATGGTGAGGTTTAACAGCGATAAGTTACAGGTACATAGGTATGGTTGAGATGAAGAACTTAAACAAAATACAGGATACAAAACCCAGTCAGATCTACTCACAGAGAGGAAACCAAAATGTAAAAGATCTGGGCACAATGATGTCTGATGACCTGACATTTAGTGAACATAACCAAGCAAATATAGCAGCAGTCAGGAAAATGATGGAATGGCTTATGAGGATGTTCAAATTCAGGGATTCCACCACAATGTTAATACTATTTAATCACTGGTGGTGTCCCTCTTTGAGTAAAGATTGGTACTGCTCCTTTCAGAGCAGGAGAAATTTCTGAAATTATGGGAGTACAGAGAACATATAGTGGCATTCATAGACATGATAAAGCACCTAAATTATAGGAACTGTCTCAAATTGTTATCTTTGGTATGGGAACAAGAAGTATCAAATAATATATACATGGAAGATACTTGAAGGCCAGGTCCCAAATTGAAATAAGTTTATTGAGGTAAAATACACACAAAGGGATGAGGTAGCTCAAGCTATTCTCACCCCGTTCAGTACAACGTGTTCATACGTACATATAGACATGTCACAAACAATAAACATATTGCTGAACATTCTAAGTGATAAACATATACAGTTCTTCAATTACACGTGTAGTATGTTACCAGACATACACACAAATACTTTTATAACTAGGTATATAGACAATTTGCAATAGACATTCAGACAATTTAACAAAATTTTACAATCTTGGTGCAAAATTCTTATCTCTCTCTCTAGAATATCATCAATCTTTCTGTTGAGGTCCCAAATTTGCACAGTAAGATAACATACTGGCGTAAACGATATGTTAGGAAATGCGAAATAGAATCAGTAAGGAGCAGAGATGCCATAGGCACAATTAGAGAGCACTGTATGAACATAGAAGTCTACGGCTATTCAGTACTCTCTCAGTAAGGATAAAAAATTTAGTTGGAACACCGGGGGGGGGGGGTTCAAGAAGCAGTTAGATAATTATAGGCCTGCAAGCCATTCCAAGCAACAGCCTGTTGGACTAGTAAGCCATCTAATTATAGGCAACCATATGATGCTATCTGTGTAGTTCACACACAATTATTAGTCAATTATTAGTACATCTTGGCTGTCCACAAATTTAATTTAGCAAAAACATGTTCCATACTGGCCTTCAGAGCCAGTGCAGGGTGGCTTCAGAAGCTTAAAAGACAGCATATATCAGTATAATGGTACAGTATTTTGCTTCCTCTGGGTTACCAAGACCAGGCTGTGCTTTAAACTAAAAAATTTTTTACATTTATGCATTACAAATAATATTTATATGCCTATAAAAATGATTGTTTATATACTATTTGTGTATATTAGTTTACAAAATTAGTTTATTATTTGTATATTAGTTTACAAAAAATCAATAATAATGGCATATTGACAAATGTTGCCATTTTTGTAAGTTTTTACTAATCTATCATTCTTATAGTGAAAGCACCATATGAAGATAGATACAAAGATGAGAACAGACAGACTTTAATAGTAGATGATATTTAGTCTGTATGGGATCGAGATGAATGTGTAGGATTAAATACTTCAATTTATATTGAGTAATCATTTCGCAGGAATGTAGCAAATGTTGACTTTTTCCCTCATTCAGTTAAATGGTGTAATGGTATTTGAGCTTCAGAGTCATCTGTTAATAGCAAAAGATAATATTTCATAACCTGGCTGCTGTAGGCAGCCTTGCGTATGATAAAATATATTACAAATCACTGCTAGCTTCACTTACCTTTGTAACTCTGTAAATACTGCATTTCAAGCCCTATCACTGAATGAATGTGGATTAACAGTATCAAATTGCACAGGTCGTGGGCGTGGCAACTACAACAATCGTGGAGGTGGTGCTTATCAAGGCCGTGGAAACTACAATAACATGGTGCGTATTTTTGTTGTTTATTTAACATTTCATCTCTTATTCACTATTGCTTTGTCTTTCTTGACTAACATTTAATTTTCAAGTTTTCTTTTTGAATTAAAATTCAGATGTTTGAGAAAGTAATTCCCTGTACGAAGGTGTTGTGCTAGCAAAATATTACTGTAATTGTTTTGTGAAATTTTCCTCTACTTGAAGGAAAGCATTTTTTTTAAGCTTAATTGATTATTTCTGAGTTCTCCAACCTGATTTCTCCCAAAAGTGAAATCTTGTAAAACCACAATAGGACTGCACATTGCAATAGTGCTGTGGGCACTCTGGTTCTAAGAAGATGTGAAAATATTCACACCCAAGCCCAAATACATTCTGAAAATTCACTCATAAAACCCTCAAAGGCTTTAAGCATTACTTGGTAACACAAGGATGAACAGGGCTAGTTTAAAGCGTCTGGTTTGGCTACGAGGGCTCTTTATACTTGACTACTGGCGAATTCAACAAATATTTTGTTTGTGGACTTGCCATAGAGCAGTTGCACTAGAGTTTGCTATTCTATTTGTGGCTTCTTAGCTCTGTGTTAAGTAGAGCATGGTTATGCAGTGTGCAGGTACTTTCAGTAGTTCCTTAACATGTATTTTGAGGTACAGTATTTTCCATTTTGTTCTACCTTCGATCACCTAGGAGTGGAATTCCATGCTTTTTTCTAAGTCTTAAGTTTTCCTTATTCATCCTTGTGTTTGTGGTCTGATGGAGGTTAAGCTAGAATTAGCTTTTAACTCCTACCTTAGCTGCTATATAGTCGTAATGGCTTGGCGCTTTTCCCCCTGATAGTTCCATTCCATTCCTACCTTGGCTACCAGGTCTTTTCTTTGTACAGTGTTATAGTGTTGAGAACTTGGTGACCAGTTGTTATAGCTGTTACCTTTGTCCATTGTTTGCTACAGTGTAGTGTTGTGTAATTAAACTTGATGCAATGTGGTAGGTTGCCAGAGTATTTGGATTTTAATTATTTAGATATTACCAATACTTCTTAGTAATGGTAATGTCTTCTCACAGACTTAATAACACAGGATAAAAAACCACACACTTGTATATTTGTGAAATTTATGTAAGGAATTTACACCAAGTCTTTTGCACTCTCCTGAGTGCTTTGTCATGGTCTGTGTGATTAGGATGAGACTTACATCTCATTGTCTAATCATTAATCAACGTTGATTAGACGTTCAGATGTAAGTCTTGTCCTAATCAAACACTCAGACCTTAACAAAGCACTCAGAAGAATGTGAAAGACTTGGTGTAAAATTCCTTACATAAATCTCAAATACACAAATGTGGGTTTTTATCCTAACCAATACTTTCATTAATTGGTGATCAGTAAATTTCTTAAAGGGTGTCTGGTTTGTTGTGTTGACTTTGTGTTGCTTAAACCACTGCCAATAGCTGGGGGTTTTAAGTAACTGCTCCATAACATGTGTTTAAAACCTTGTTGGTTTAAGATGTCAATTCTTAGCTTTTGTTGTGTTTTTGCAGGCTTTATCTTTTACTAAATGAGGTGTTGGACTGTACCCAGGTGTGTCTTTCCCCCTCCACCCCATGCCAGTCTCCACTTCCCATTCTCTGTTTTTCCTTCTCCTTTTCTCTCTCCACCTTCCTTTCTCATCTCTCTTCCCTTATCCACCTCTCTTCACCTCTCCCATCTCCTTCCCTGTCAACCCTTTTCCTCAATCTCCCCCCCCTCTCTCCTCCCATTTCTCCTCTCTCCCCCTTCTCCCCCTCTCCCCCTTTTCTTCTCTCCCTTCTCTCTTTCTCCCCTTTCCTCTCTCCCTCCCTCCCTCCCTCTCAGGAAATGTAATATTAGGGAACACTAAATAAACTGCTAAATAACACTACAGAAAATGTAACCCCATATTTCAAAATTGACTTCATTAAAATTTCAGTGGTGGGGGGTGGTCTAGATGCCAACATTTCTTTAAATGTGCCATAGGCTACAGTCCCAAGTAGCCTATGGCCCTCCCCTATTGTTTCATCTTTGAAAGCTGGGTGAGGCTGGCCCCAAACATTTAGCCTCCAACCTCGGCCAAACATTCTCGTTTATACATATGTATTTGAAATTATTGGCCATACTGGTCTTGTTGCTTAAGTGTAGATCTGAATTCCACTTTTGATAGGGGGGGATGAAGGTTTCCCAAAACTGTCTTGAAGATTCCTTGTGGTTTGTCTGTCTTGTCTTCCTGGCCTAGGGTCAGTTTCTGTTCCTTACCTAAATGAAAAGACATTTCTGGAACTTAAGGCTCCAATTGAATGATTGTCTTATTTCCAATTTCTCTGCATCATAAGTTTTTGTATTTAGACTGGGTAAAACATCTCTTGAGATGTGGGTCCTTAATGCCCATTGCTTTCTTAAGTTCTTTCTTTAAAATGCAGTTATCGTTATATGTTAATTCATGAAGAAATCCTATTATCGGATTACCTTACTATGTAAATGCAGGTATCTTAAGCAAATGTTACTGTGTCGCTGCAGTAATCATGGTATAAAATTCCATTATGATTACATGATATGAATACCGATTACGTTCATATGGTTTTCAGAACTCTATATGATTGTAATGAAGTACACCAGGTCAACCAATCATTATTTGAACATAATAATAAAGGCATTACAGAAGGCCTATTGGCTCATATGAGGCAGCTTCTATTTATATAATTTCTTTGATATGAAATAAATAAATAAATTTCCCGTATTTTCTTGATGTTGAAACACGAAAATTCCAACTTACGCATAACTGAGTAACTTTTTTATTATTATTCTTGCATTTTATCAATATAAATAGGAGCTGCTTCATATTGGGCCTATTTCTATCTCTATACAGTATACTGTATCTATTTATATCACTCCTATTATACATATGGTCGATGATCTAGACATCCAAGGTCAATACTGAGAATGTGTGCCTTGGGAGTAGTGTATTTCACTGATAGAGTTCCTGCAATGACAAAGTGGGTGCCATGGGCAGCCACATGCTGAACTTGTATATGTATGATTGTAATGAAGTATACCACGTGCTGAAAAAGTACCAAAGTATACAGAAGTGCTGAAACATTGTAAATAGTGTACATATACATTTTTGTCCTACAAACATTATCCTTGTTGGTTAGTAGTGGACTCAATCCTAGTTTTTGTGAGTTATGTGGTCATATATCAAGTTATTCCATACAACCTCCTGGCTTCTGTTTGAGTGTCCTTGGTTGGACAGTTTGAGTGAATTGCCTTTACTGTATTTGCATCTGCTTTGACAGCAGATATTTTCTTGTACTATAAAGCCATATGGACTCATTCCTTCAAGATTCAGTTGGCACCTTTTCAGCTGCTCGAGATGCTGACTGGATTGACACTGATCTGGCCTTAAACTCGTATGTATGTCCTTTTTGGGTTGTCTGTTGCCTTTGCCCACATATTTTATCTCCCAGTGTTTTCTAAAACACAGCTATGTTGTGTGCCCTCAGTTTTCTTAGGCCTTAATTTTGTTAGAGGCTAAAGGTTTCTGGAGGGTGCTTTTTAAAATGTGACCTATTCAGTCAAGCTAATTTTTGTCCCATGTGATTTTTGATGACCTCTTCTCTCGACTTCTTTCAACAACACAGTGTAGGCCAGGCGAGTTGCACCCTCTCTCTTGTTCTGACTGCTTCTGCTGATTCTTGATTCAGGGAGCATTTGGATAAGGTAGCCAGAAATCAGGATTTGAGTGGATATGTAAAGCTCTTACCTGGGCAGTACATTTGGTTGCTTCCATTTCCTTCCCTTTCATATCTGTTGGGCTCTCTGGAGAATTGCCATTCGCCTTGGGGGTCAAGAGACTTTGTGTCAGTGCTGCTCGTTAATTGTAATCAGGATTAGTGATTTAGTGAACCGTTAGATAGCAAGAGCACTGCTTGGTGTTGCTTATAATGCCAAATAGCTCTTAGAAAGGCTGAATTTTTCATAAATGCACTTTATGCCTAGACTGAGCTCCTCCAGTGCCTCCATAGCATCAGCATGACCAAGCAGCGATGGATTGAAAAGTTCCCTGCTGCATTATTGCAAAATGTCAACCTGCCTTACAAAATATCTTGTGCATGACTGCACAAGATTCTTACTATAAGGAAGATCTGAATACTTTTCATAAAAGTGCTTTTCTTTTGCACTTAAAGCCATATTTTTTCTCAATATTTTCTTCTGTTTAATGAGATTAATATGATTCAATCCTTGATGGTGCCTTCATAAATCAGATGACACCTAAAAGGGTTTCTATGGATTTGCTCTGTCTTTGCAGTCCAAAGTATTTCATGTATATATCTACATCATAGAAATATACAAATTTTACAAGTTTGTGGGTGTTTTGAGTATGAAAATGGGTACTTTTCATCTTTACCATTCTCCAATTGAGTGTGTGAGTTTACCATTAGGTAACCTCTGTTTCTTGGTATACAATGTACAGTTGAAAATGTTTGCTTAAGTATGATGGCAAAACGTATCTTAATCCTTGTACTGTTCTTGCCAAGATATCTCGTTTGATGGATGGTGTGCTCACCGAGAAAACTCATTTGTAGGTAAAGTGAATGATTCAAAACTCCCTAGGATACAGGGGGGGTCACAGCTGCTTCCTCAGACCTCCAGTAAACAGATGTCATCTTGAAAAAAAAAAGTCTGCATCCGTGCTGTCTGTGAGAGCCTCAGTACTGAGCGAGCAACCAAGGGTAGCACAAGCAGCAGGAACTCGGTGGTGCTGTGCAGCATGTGACTACAATAGCACTTAATAATGATGAATAAAATAAGTAACTGATTATTTTGCAGTGATAGTGTCATAGATAATCGTGACTGTGATATAGATTATAGACTGTTCAGATATCAGTGAACACAATGCTAGTTATGATGTTCACAGCTGGAGGCAGATGCTCAAAGCACACAGCCGCTGTTTCGTGTATTTACACATCATCAAACATGACCTCGTGTTCCTTTAGAAAGGGAA